TAGTAGCAGTTCTGCTGGGAACACATTTTTGTTTTTTTGATGGTGCTTTATCTTGTGTGGTAAAGATAAATTTGTATTTTATCTCACTTGGTTTTGTATTTATATGTTAATTGAAATCTTCTCGAAATCGTTATGTTTATGAATAAGGACGAAAATATATTCTGACAGGAGTGGTTTCCGGTGATTCAAAGGGCGTGGCCGTAAAAAATTTAGGGGAAAGCCTGCTAGTCCCGTTCCAGCCACTCCCTTGTGGGCTGGTGCCAGTGTGACCTGATCTAGCGCAATATTAACATGATATTGGCCAAAAATCGTCATTTAGCATAAAATCTAGCATAATTTGGAATCTAGCATAACTCTGGCATACTTCTGATATTATGTAAAAAAACATTGTTTCCATTGATCCATTGTCTATCGTTACCAAATGTAAACACTTTACACCAGCATCTGTGGTTTCATTTTGGGAGTAAATTGTGACTTTCTACCTTCAGGTTATTGTCAGTTGTTTTGAATGGTTGGCAGCCACATATTTTGTGGTTGGCAGCCAAATGCAGCCAGCTAAACGCTATACAAAAAGTTAAATTTTTGCTAATTATTGGGAGTGATACCGTAATCAAAATTTGCTTTGTAGGTTACAAAAGTTTTCACTTGCTTTGATCTAAAACTGTCTGTTATCTTTTGCTTTGTTTCATCATTCATCATTTGCAATTTTGAAATTATTTTAAAATTTTTTGATTATTATCTGTGCAAAAATATTTGTTTCCTTTGTATTTTCGTTGTTTTTTGCAACATCCTACCAGAATTCAACCAAATTTTGCTTCTTCGGCCAAATCAATTTATGACGGCCAAGGGGTTTTGAGAAACTGCCAAAATGGAGAAATTTGGCCATCAAACCATGGATCTAAACTGCCTTTTTGTTTATGAAGAATGAGTACAGTGGGTTGTCAAAAAGGCCAAATTGCAGCTCTGGCCACTGGGCTGAATGCAGTTAAGATCTTTCCATAAGTAAACAAGACTTAAGAAAGCTTCACCCAGCTTTTGACCCGGACATCGCAGCAATCCTTAATTCCCACCTACAACAAGACAGAAGCAGGTGGGGAAAGCAGCATAGCTCCAGGAAACTTATCAAATAGATAAATATTGCAATTTATATGCTTGATCTCGCAAGTTTCGAGTTCCGAGAAAAGCTGCAGAGATATGGTTTGAGAAAACCAAAAAATACCAAAGTCTGGGAAGCAAGGCTGATTTAAGGGAGTTTTTAAAGCTGAAAGGAAAAAAAATAACTTTGACAGAGATCCGAACAAACCATGTAAAAGAGTTTCTTTTCGATAACTTTTTGCTCACATATTAAGACACCTGTGTCACCTGTGTCAACATGCAGCAAAGAGAAACTGATCATGAAAGTGGTTGTAATGTGAGTGATGAATTGCATTCAGACCTGTCATCAATTTTTGAAAAAGCAGCCATTGAAATTACTCCTCTTATGAAGTTATTGTGGGAAGAGCAACAAAAGCTATGCCAAGCTACACCAATGACAAGAGAAGATATCAACCACAATTTATACGTTTTTGTTTATCTATACAAGCAAAGAGTTCTAGTGCCTATGATGAACTATCTGAAACGCTGATCTTGCCAAGCCAAAGATGCCTTAAAAATGACAAACATGCATTTGCACCAAAGCCATGTCTAATTGCAAAAGCAGTGGCGTGCTGGCAGGGGGGCAGAGGGGGGGGGGGTGCAATTGCCCTCCTGTCGATCAAATATCAGGGGCGCCAAAGTTAATTTTCACTTTGTAGCAAGCGAGGAAGATTTACATAAAATAAACCCAACAATAGTTACTAAAGGCGAAAAGAACAAGAATCACCTTGCAACATACCACCTCTGAACAACGATCCTCAAACACCATCTCAATTCTCAAGGTCGCACGCTAAATCTAAATGATTTTTAATAAGTAGATACCAAGGGCGTACCAAGGTAGGAGGTGTTTTTGAGGAACCCGCCGATAATGTTGGGCTTGGCGGTTAATGTCCAGATTAGGCTCCATTTCATAAAATTATTGGGAGGGTGCAAGGCGTTTTGATTTGCTAAAATAATAAGAAATGCTAGGAAGAAAAGATTGTGTCCCAATCTGAAGAAAATTATGTTGCATAAGCAAAAAAATGCAACAGCGAAACTAGAAAATCGATTAAAACCATCAAATAGCTTTCATCCTGTGGCTATTAAGTTTGCTTTATCAAAAATTGCTCCAAAAAGATCGTTTTCCAGCAAACTGGAAGCATCTAAATTCGAAATTTTTTTTCCCTCGGCGGCAACCATGGTGCCGCTTCAGACAGTATAGTTATCAGGGGCGGACGCAGAAAAAATCATGACCGTGGCACAAGAATAGTGTTAGGTGACCACGCCCACTGGTCTTTCGGAAACGCCCAGTCTGAGCATACAGAGACGGGTATAGCTTTTATACCGAAAACATAGTTACATTTAGCGCAAAGCTGTCACCGCTCCTGTCGTTTTATCATTAAACAATACTGGCTCTATGATTTCAACTTGCAAACAAATAACGATGCAAACTGATGTTAGCCAGTCACTGGACGCACTTAAATAATATACATTTAAAAATTTATAAATAATGGCTAGTTCTTACAACTGACAGATAAAATTATCTTTATCTTTAGCCAGATCAAATTATTGACAAATTAAACTAGGCATACTTTTGCGAAGCTTCGACAGCTCGTCCACGAAAAGTTCCTTCAAGCTGCATGGATTCGCGATTTAATAGATTTTTCAACTATTCTTTGAATATCCATTGCCAAAGCAAAGGCAATCTTTGCAATAAACTCAAATTCGAACTCAATAAAATTCTTGCGTGCTGAATCGTCAGTTTCCTGCAGACCGAACACGTTTTGTTTGTTTACCCAGCAATCACCGGAATCACCTAAGCAAGTTCATACTCGACAACACATTTTTTAAATATTTGTGCCACGGTGCCACTTAATGAAAGAACATACGGAGTCTCGATGCAATTGATTTCAATACACATTTCTTGGGTCTCAACAGAAGCATACAGAGCCTCGACCGTGGCACAAGAACAAAAGCACAGCCATTTGGTCTCAAAACATATTGTTTAAAAATGTGCGCGCATACTTCTATTTTTATCTAGTGTGGCACGATTGTTACTGTCCATATTTGGTAGAGCCAATTATTCTGTGGTTAACAAAAGGCAAACAATAAGCAAATCCAACATGGCGTACTACTAAATTAACAGCGGAAAGGGGGCGTGGTAGATCGACACTGGAGCGAAGAGGAAGTGTTAGACAGCAAGGACCATATCGGGATACTTAGAACAGTCCATCATTTTCCAAAAATTTAAATTTGGAAATCTGACCGTGGCACGTGCCACCGGTGCCACCATCTGAATCCGCCCCTGGTTATATCTTGGGCTTGTACCGATATATAGATCTAACTAAAGGGTTCAAAGGTCTGATATTTTAATGTTAATTTTTCTTTGAATCAACACTCTGAATTGTGGAGGATGGAGTTAGCAGCTAAAGAATTTCAGGTGATTTTTTCAAATCAGGCAAATTAGTAGTAAACCCAAACAAGGCCTGCCTCAAACGGCCACGCCTTCTAGAACGCTTAAAAACGCCCCTTTTAGAAAACACTCAAGTTTTACAAATATTCTGGTTCAGAGAATAGATCAATAGCTATAGAAGTAGATGAAATTAGCTTGGGGATAATAAAACTTCAAGAAAAACACCTAGAAAATGAATAAGAAGGGTTCCCAGTCAAGAAAAACTGCTACTCCTTAGGAGTATACTATCCAATACTGCGCCAAAGAATAGTTAAAGTAAACTTTCCAAAAAAATTTCTGATCTATTACTGCAAAAAAGTGGAGGGACTATAGCCCCTGCTAGCCCAATGGCTGCGCGGTGCCTGAAGGAAATTCCTGCGCACCAATCAGTTCAATAACATCGTCGTCCGAAATGAATGTGGTAGGAAGACTGTCAGCATCAAAAACAAAATCAATAGTTGAAATAAGCGAATCTGAAAATGTAAATTCGTCATCGGGAAGCGCTGCGATCTCACTCACTTCACTGTTTGTCGCCATTACGATAGGTTATATGACATGACGACGAACCGATAAGGAAAACCTTACCGGTTCGTCGTCACGTGACCATTGGTTCAACACGTGACCATATGGTTGCAGATAAAATTTATACAGAGGCTGTTCTTTATAGGTAAAGCTCAGGATTTGTTTCAAAACTACTAATTCGATGATTTTTGACAAAACAGGTAACATGAAAACGGGTCTTCAGTGAGAGTGTCTGCTTCTCTTTATGGGTGCATGCCTGCCTATACATTATTTGACTATATTTCTACGATAACCAATCTACCATTTGTTTCATTTGTTGAGTAGATAAGGCTGAACGGTCAGGTAGTGAAATCAAGTACGATGTCGTAGAAAACGTTCCTTTATACAAGAAAACACGGAGAAGCGTGGCATCAGAGGCCATAACGAATAAGAAATAATAACAATCTCAAGCGAATTAGTTAAAGCTCAAAATCCCCTCGTGAAATTTCGGAAAATCGTAGGCCTAACCCCCCCCCCAAATGAAAGCCTGAATTTCCGCCACTGTTTTAGCTTTTGATGCACCTAAGACTGTACGTTCGTGTAAGTGACTTGTGATAACAGACGTTCCAAATTTCAAGAATCTAGGATGAAGCTTCTAAAAAAAGAATTGTCTGTTTTTAGGTCCCTGAAGGCAAGCAGAGCCAAGGAGGATTCCTCGAAATCAATTCTGGAATTTTCTGGAGGGGAAGGGGGCGTGATCCCAGACACCCTAAACACAGTCTGTCTTTGAAAAATGTCTGTGTACCCGCCCGATCCGTGCTCTGCCGGCCACATAACAAATAACAACCTTTAACAGTTAGTTTCCTGACACTCCTCTAAAGCGTCGCGAAGCAAGCCTCGTTAAAAAGGGGGGGAGGAAGGGGGGAGAGGTTTGTGGGCTACAAATATACTTGATTGAAATATTATTGCCTGAAATTCTTTGGCTGCTGTAACAAACCTCTGCAATACATTTTGTCAATCTAACTCTGTATATAATTCGACAGCAGTTCATTCATTTCAAATCATGCCAACCATCCCATACCAAAGGAAACATCTCATTCAATTTAGCAAGAAGAATATGCATATTTATAGTAGAAGAAGAGCTGAAAGTGGAAAGGCTACTCAAGCCAACTGACAGAAAACGGAATAAGTAAAGCCTTTACTCTTATACTAAAGCAATATACTACTTTCGGAATTCCGTAAAACCAATATCACAAATAGCAGTTTGTTTCTACTCACAACCCAAGGAACCCAAATATGTTCTTTGTCATCAAAGACACTATCAAGCTTCTAGACGCAAGTCCAAAACTAAAGAAAATCTTTACAAACATCAAGTTGATCAACAGCAAACGACAACCATCAAACATTAAACAGATTCTCACCAAAGCCAAATTCAAATCGCTAAATAAAAAAACTATTCAAGCCTGCAACCCAACCACGAAAGTAAAAAAAATGTAACAACAAACGCTGCGGAACGTGTCCTCTCATTTCAAGAGCGCCAACGAGCCATTCATAATCAAAAGAAACTTCGACTGTACCTGCGGTGATGTCATTTACCTGATACGATGCGGAGGTGGGTTTCCCGGCCAAATCATGTAAAAGAGCAAATTGCCGAGTTTCCCGCCTAAACTGGATAAAATTGTCTGACATACGCACGTGTCATACCATGTGTAGCACTTTTTTCTAAAAAATCTCACGTTTTTTGTATTTTGAGTGTTCTAATGATCCTGCTTTTTAAATAGCATCAAACGCATATTACTTCATTTTTCTGCAGAAATTATATCCTGCCTGCCCGAGTTTCCCGGCTACATGTAAATACTGGCAGTTAGTTGACCTGCCTTACCGGGAAACTCGGCTAGCAGGGAAACTCGCCTTCATGTAAACAAGCCCTAAGTAGAGCTTTTTGGCCAGGCTGGAAAAATAGGCCTATATCCTCAGTGAGATACAATTTACCCTGGAATATAACGAGGAATTTACTCAAAAGCAGCGGCACCTTTTAGTAAATTTTATGAACATTGTAAATTTTTAATTTTGGCGGATTATATTTCAAGTATATTTTTTGGCCGCCTTAAACTGCAGTAGTGCTTTACTTCCACAGCTAGGGGTGCTTTTGAGAAAGTTGTAAACAAACCAGGCGAGATTGGCAAGCTCTGTTTGGCTAAATTAAAATTGTAAACAAAGCATCTATTTAGACGAAAACTAAAGTCCGCCTTGCTCGTATGAAATCGTTTTTAGTAGTATCAAGTTTGCACACTTCAGACGTTTCGATCAGAAAATTACGAATCTTCATATCAAAGCCATGTTAATCAAAGTGAATTTATCGGAAGAGTTTTAATCATTTTCAAATCATGGTGTTGTAGCGCAAGGCAATTATGTTTTCTGGTTGTTTCGTCGTTAATGATTTGCTAGCACATATATTACAAATTAAACAAATTTGCTACATTTTGATTACGTCTACCTTTTTCAAAAGAATAACATATGGTCATGATATTTCTTATGAATGCAGGTAACTTTCCATGCCTTCTTCTGGTATAGAATCATCAACATAGTTTTCTGCATTGCTTAACTCAAGCAAAGAAATAAAGGAGTTGTGAATAGTTGGGCGGTTTGAACTGGCTATTTCTGTTGTCTTTTCATTTGCCAATTCATAGGGTTTGGAGTAATTTTGCATGAAGCTGAAAATTTTCTTGCTTTTCTGGGTATTGCAGCCATTCGTCAATAAGTTGGAAAAAGAAGTCCTTTTGTTTTCCGAATAGAAATATTGCACTGCAAACATCAAGAAACCTCCTACAGCAGCGAAGCCACCAGAAATAAAGAATGCAAGGGAGTAAGTTCCTGAAACCGTGTACAAATATCCTGAAATAAATTTATACAGAAACGAATTTATATAATTACACACAAGGAGACATGCAGAGAAAGAGTCGCATTAAGAGTGAGGATCTGAATTGTGACATTAAATTTTCTGTTTTACGCAGACTGAAAACAAATTCAAATCTAAATTTCTGAAACAGCTTGCTCCTAGAAGAAGTATTTTTTTTGGTCCTATCACTCAATAAATATCATTCACTTATTTCTACTGTGTTTTTAAAGCTATCCGACAAATGCCTCTATATTTGGGTACATAGATCAATACTATTTAACATATACTTTTGAACGAATTATGCTTGATTCTTTAAGGCAAATAACAGGTTGAACATACCTGCAAACGGCGGACCAGCAAGGATAGCGATGCAGTTGCAGATAAGATATGCACTATATCCTCTATTGAATTGCTCTTTTGTTATCAAATCTCTAATGATGAGCATGGTAGATGTGGCAATACTGCCATCAGCAATACCAAAAAGAACGGAATAAGCAGCAAGGCCAATAAAGGAGGTTAATATTGGAACAAATGTTGTCACTATGCCTATAACGATGATGGCCCATTTGCAGAGAGAGAGCTTGTTGTATTTCGGGAGAGATGCAAGCTTGCCGAAGCCTATCTTACCAACTGCTTGCGCAAAAGAGGTGATGCCTGGTAGAAATACCGCCATTGAGTATGATATGCCTGCGTCCATCGCTAGGCGTACCTAAGATTAAATAATCCTTGTTCAAAAGAAATATCATTGAAATTGAATAAGCAAGAAACGTCTTAGCATAGATAAATGGAAATTGAAAGAGCAATGGGATGGCACATATAATAACAAGAGATTGTAAAGAAATTGAGAAATACACAAGAAATTGCATCACATTATCTATTCCGATACTGTAAAACTTCTCATTGCGCGTGACGAACGAGCAGATAAATACTCTTTTCTACAACAAATTCATAGTTAACCTCTCGTTCATGCACCACGGCACCTATTGTGCCACAACGGTTAAATCGCGTCATATCGTAACACACACAGCTATTGCTGCGTGTTAGTGTTCGCCATTGTTAACTGTTAAGGCCGATTTCCATTTGACATTATTTCTGCGCGCGGGCGTAGTGCCCAAATCTGAGCATGCATAGTTAAGTGCTGCTGTCAAGTGGCCGAGCGCACAAAAAAGTTGGGACCCTATCATTTTCCGGCACTCACAGCGGACGCAAAATCAAGATCACTTGATTTTAACTACGCATGCTCAGATTTGGGCGCTACGTTCGCGCGCACAAAAATGTCAAATGGAAATCGGCCTTAATTAACTTCAGTAGCTTTTTGCTTGTAGCTGCAACAATTCTTGAAAATTAATCTAACGTAAATTTCCGTCTGAATTCTTTTCTATAAAACTAATGTTTTATCAAAAGAAAATGATTCCAATGGATTATACTGAGCAAGGAAGGAGACGTAATTATATGGTGCATTTTTTAGCAATTATGGACTTGTTTTCAATTGCATTTCCTTAGAAGTCCTCCAAAATCCTCTCGTACGCAAGTCTTGGCTTGTTCACGAGACAGTTGTTTATGGTTTAACTATTCCTAGGAAAAAGCTGGATTATCCCGACAGAAGCCTCAGCTTTCAATCAGTTCCAGCAGAAAGTTAGGCCGTAGCTTGATCTTATTCAAATACGCCTTAAATATTCCTTGCGCTGAGTGAGATGCCCGTCGATACCTGTCCGCGCCTTTGATTGAACATGGATTTTATATAAAAAATTATTCCACTCTTCTTCATATAAGAACCTGGAATTTGAAGCTAAGATTGATTCTTTTTAGTTTTTCCATAAAATGATCACTGGATTATCATTAGTTTGCAATTGAACTGCTAGAGTTTATTTAAAAATCTAGACAGGAAATCTAGCATTTTACTGAAGGAAAACACTGTGTGTGTATAATGCAAGTATAGGTTGTTTGATAATATCAGCACAAAATGAACTCCATCGTGAAAGATTTTGTCTTGATCAACATAGACGTTATAGACAGGGAAATTTTAACAACAATCGAGCAAAGTGCCTAACTTTAGTTTTTGCTCTTGATTTGGGTACTATCAGCCTTGCTTAATATTTTAAGCCTTGCATATATTTTTGTAAGACGATCAAAATTACGTGATCGATGACGTCATTTCCCTGGTCATTCAAATTTTTAATTCTCATTTTCGAAAAATCGCTCCAACCATCTTGTTTGGCATTCTAATAGGAGCAAAAAGTTCGAAAGATTAAACTCTATCAGACCGGCAGATAACGAGTTATTGCTATTTAAATTTTGCATGACGTCATCAAAATGGCGGTTCTCCAGTTTTCAAGCACGTGGAATTTGAAGGCTGATGGTCGTAATTAAGGTTGCTTTACCTCGATGTTGAAGTTTTTTGACCTTCGTGTTATTCAGAAACTCAAGAATGTCATTTGAGCTGATATATTTTCCCGTCTGGGAAAGTAAGTATTGAACAAAAATGGAAGCTAAAGGAAAACGTTCTAATACAAATTTGTCTTCGAAAAGGCTATATTGAAGAGGAGCTTTTCTCAGCAATGAAAGACCGTCAGTTTGTTAGCATTGTCGCTCGACAATGTATTCATCTTTTACAGTAGCTAGAGAGTGCAATATTTAATAGCACTTACATGCCAAGCATGAGTTGATACCTCTTGCACTCAATCATCACAATTACAGGCGATGTTGCAGTTATCAGAATGTCTGTCGAGGTCATTTGAAGGAAACGATGCATCTAGTGATTTATATTGTGTTTCAAAAATACTTCCATGGCTTAAAATATGCAGCAAGCCTGATAGTACCCAAATCAAGAGCAAAAACTAAGGTTAGGCACTTTGCTCAATTGTTGTCAAAAATTCCCTGTCTAATAGCGTAATCAGCTCTTCTGAAACTCACCAAATGCACAAAGGGTATGAAAACTCCAAAACTGACCAACATAATTGCAAAAACATACATGATGTAAGCATAATTTCTTAGTAAAGGTATTTCATCCATTTCAGTTTTAATCGTTATTTCTCTCTTTCTCTCCTTCCTGCACTTCAAAGGATTAGGCCCAAAACTCTCCTCAGGCCGCTTGAATAACACAGATACTGCTATTACAAACAGTGCGATCACGCTAGACAGCCGCATTCCTCTGCTGAATCCATACTTTTGCAAGATGAAACCGAGACCGGGAGCTTGAGCGAGGCCTCCCAGGCTATTCCCGCACATCACTATTCCGTGGGCCAGTGATAAGTTCTTTTTGAAATAGAGGGGCAAAATCAGCAATGGAGCAAAATAACATAAACTTTGTCCTATCGCAAACATAAGTCCAAGTGTGAAATAGGTTTCGAAAATACTGGATGCAAAAGAGGTCGCCACGAGTGAAAGGCCAATTAATGTTCCTCCAAGAAGCAGTGAGAGTCTATAGCCAACCAAGTCAAAGACTCTGAATGTAATCGGCGTCGATAGGAAAGTCATAGCTATTGACAAGGAGCCGGTCCAAGCTGCAAAGAATATTACAATATTATTGTATCATGAGCAAAAGTTCTATATCTTTAATCAAAAGTGCAATTATACAACGGTTTCGTTCTTTTGTGGTCTGTTGCTTGTCGACAGTTTCCTGTTTGCAAGATGTATATGAACCGCATAAACAGGTCCTTACTTGGCCTTTTTTTGTTTTACAATAATTGCAAAGCAAGACAGTAAGCTATTCTCCGAGCTTGTTCTAAAATAATTTCTAGCATTATTCACGCTTTAAGGGCAGGCTTCTACCAGCAAAAACAAACCAATCCAATCGATATTTTCAGTAAATCAACTTGTTGGCATGGCCACCGATAGGTTTAGGAGATTCAAGGACAAAATCCGGAGTTAAGAGCCTGGGAGCGGAGCGGTAGAAAATATTTGCAACCACGCCCTGAGAATAGCTTACTGTCTTGCATAAAATGTAAATTAGCATAAAATGCCATTCATAATACTTCGTGTAATCATATTCTTCAGACCGTTGAAAACTCTTATTGTTTTTCATGCATATTTTTATTTCATTTGATTTATTCAATTTTTAAAATTTAACTCATTAACACCTGAGGCCCCCTACACCTTGAAGCTCTGATGCAATTTGCCCCCTCCTTTCCCTCTCTCAGTGGCCCTGGGTGTTGGTTAAACTTTTGTTGCTATCTACCGTATCCTAAACGAATTGTCTTTGTTCCACATTCGCAAACAGAAAACTTTATGTCCTCTAATAAAAATCAATAGCAAAAATAACGACCTCGATACCGCGTTTTGTATCGTTTGTACGGCGTTCATTTCCAGGCGTAATCTGACACTGTCGAGCTGCATTGTAAGTAAACTCCTCGTGTTTGCTGTAAATGGATCGCAAAAGGTGTTAAAAATTCCGATTTCAAGTCCGCTTTGGAGATTATTCAAGTACGCTTTGGAGATTATTTTAGTTGGTTAGCCCCCCTCTGTCCACTGCGTCCGCATAAATTAATGCTTCACCATTTTGTAAATCTTTCTTTTTTGGTAAAATGAATCTTTGGGTTTTTAATTCTTAATGCGGATTATGAACGCGGTTATGAATATGGGCAAAGGTTACCCAAAGATTTTCGTGAAATTAATTTTAGCCAGATTTATATTCTATCCATAATGGATAAGCACATTAAATTTTCAAAAGGAGTGTTACCCTTTAGATTTTTGAGTGTTCTCACCTTTTTCTGAACTGAAACTAGTCATTGCTGCAGTAAACATCTAAGCGAATGAACTGTCGTTTCGAAAAAGAGTTATCACATATTATCAGGCCTATAGAAAGCCAGTTCTGGCTCAAAGTTCTGGCCCTTGGGCCACCCCGACTACCCCATCCTTATCAACGGGTCTCAACATGATCACTGTAGAAGGCAACAGTTACATAAAAAAATGTGTTATAAAACATTGAATCTAAACATAAGTTATTTTAAAAACTTTGCTGGTTACCTATCAGCGCGTTGCTTTCTGTAAACTTTTCCTGCATCGACACGTAGATGGATCCGAATCCACGGTAAAATCCAAACGCTGTGAATTGGACAAGAAATGCCGATGCACATAGCAAGCATTGCAAAAGCTTCTTTCTGGCAAAGCTTCCTTTAGGCCCTACATCCGTACTATCCATATTTGAAAGAAATTGACCTAAATAGGCCAGCCCTTAAAAAGGAAGTTTTACCAGAGTTTTGCCAACAGAAACCCACAAGGATCTGTGTTAGACCAAGGCAACGATTGAAGATACTGCTAAAACAGTTTTAAATATCAATTTCCTCATATCGCCTTTCATTTTGGATTATATTTCTTTTTGGTTGATCTCCAGAAGCAAATTCAAGTTTTTTCATGCGAAGTTCTGACGAAACCGGAAGTGACATGCATCATATTTTGAAGTTGCTTATGTAAGTTTGTAGTGATTCAATTTAGGCCATTTTACACAATCCATTATTGCTTTATCTACATACCTACGCAATTCTACATTCCTCTTTCTCTATGCATATTACACTTCATTTTATTCCAATCAATTACACCATTGTTAGCCATCAAGCACATCCTCTCCTTTGTATAACGCCTAATTAAATTTGCTTCTTTTCTAAATCAATAAGCACTTTTTAGGCAGGGAATTTTCCATTACAATCTAAGGACCTGAGTAACCAAAAATTTTAATGCTCAGAATGAAAGTATATATAAAGGAATCAGGATTCCGAGTTGGGACATTTTGGAAAATTTGTTCTTGTCACGTGACAGTGACGTATTAGACCGAGTGACAAGTCATGGTCAGAAAAAAGTAAACTTTTCAAATTTCTAATTTAAATCCATTTTTGGATTGCTCTTTCAAAGTTGTTCCGACTATAAAAAAAACCATAGCCCTCCAACGTACGGTTCCAAAGTTATAGGCGTTTAAAGTTGCAGTTAATCAGGGGGTAATGTCGTATAATTCTAATAGTATGTTTGCCTGTCTCAGATGAATTGACAAAAGTGAGCCAAAAATGAATAACAAGCGTGATTTCTGCTTCTATTACAGTTATTTTAAAGCAGATTTTATGTTACAAATCGTGGGCTTTAGATGAATTATTGAACGTCGTTCAATGTTACCCCCTGATTTAGTGAAAACTTACTGTAACTTATCTCAGAGATGTTTCGTTGATGTTGTCCAGGGGCGCAGTGGGAGTTAACTTTTTGGGGGGGGCAAAGCTGAAAATTTTCCGATAAAACTATGATTTTTCCGACAAATTTTTTCTCAATATATTCCTTGAAGATTACCCTTGCTGCATATACTGCAACACTTGATACTACAATATCGCGAATGGATCTGGAAATCGTTAACGAATGGATCGTTCGTTATACACCTTCAAGTTCAACAATAGTCTTTATTCTAACAAAACTTACCAAATATAAATCGCTATAAACAAAACTGCAACTAGTTATAAATTTACACCCTACAAGTCTTCTCGCTATACTAGACAATAAACTGTCAAGTTAGTGTTTATAGCTGTTTATAGCAAAAAGTTTTTTTGGCAAATTTTAAATCCCATCATAATTACTTTGCATTTATTTATGCTAAACCTTAAATAGATATAACGCGTCCAAAAGAATAGTTTCCTTTTAACTGTTACTCAAGCAGCATCTTTCTCAAAAGAGGTGTGGCAGCATACAAATCGATGATGTCACCATGGTCTATCGACTGTAAAATATCACTTTCGACGTTGATTGTTATCAGAGAGGAAAGGCGGTCTTGTCCCATCTTTGACCGTAGCCGACTTTTTTACAATCCTCAGCTTTGAAAAAGCTCTTTCATACTTTGTTGAACCTATTGGCAAAGTGACGAGAACCTTGTAAAAAAGGACCAGCTGTGGAAAGGCACTTTGCAGGTTATACTTATCATCAACTGAAGAACTGAATGGAACTGAAAAGTTTTCTCTTTCTCCTGCAGCCGGGAGAGGGTTGCAACTTTCCAAAATTTACGGTAATTATTGACGAAAGAGCTGTACTCATCTCTTAATTTTTCGTCATCCAGGCCGTAATTCTTCGCAACCTTTTTGAATTACACTGCACACAACTGCCTTTCAATTGTTTTTTGAAAACATTCAGGGTTGAGCAAAGCAAAATTTGTCAAAATTCCCTTATGAGACGTGAATCTTGTATTCATTGAGCTGATCTACTATTACGATGATATACGGATTCCCTATTTCCTTCTAATTCATCCATGCAATTTTCCCCTGGCATCTTTTTTTCTGCGTATTCTTCGCTCGACAAAATTTTGCTCTTCTAAGTCAAGGCGTAAACAATAACTTTTTGCGTCTTCTACAACACCAGTGAATTCATTTCGAAATGAACTGAGTTGAATTTTAACTGTCGGAAATGGGAGTTTATAAAAAAACTGAGACCAGAGAGTTAATTTCCTTTACAAATTTCAGCAATGCGATGATTCCGATAAATACACTAATGAAAATAAGTAAGAAGGGTTGAACATGCCCTATTTTACGACAGGTTTAAAAAAATATGCCACCTTTCGGACAGGATCGATGAAAACCTTACATTTTGTCTAATATTTCAAATTTTCTGACAAACGTTGGATTTTCCGACAATCCGACAAAATCTTTGCCAGGGGGGGCGGATGCCCCCCCTGCCCCCCCAGCCACTGCGCCCCTGATGTTGTCTCTTGTGGCAGCTGTACGTGAGACATGAAACGTGAGACGTGGAACTTCCCATTCACTTTCGTCACTTGAATTGTCTCTTGCCACACAGTCATTCGTATCAGATTCTTTATCCCCTTCCTCTCCGCTGTTGATAATCGCTGTTTCTGCCACCGGGCTGGGAAGTATTTGACTTTATGTCTAGCGAGGACTCTTGTGATGAGTGGCTACCTTAGACCATTTTTGTTGGTCAGGTATGTTTTTACATAGTTTGTTTCTATTACATAGTTTGTTTCTATAACGTATCGTAGTGCTACATGTAGGTGGGTCCATGTGATTTTTGCAACTCAGTGAATAGCCAAAACCACTAAAGAATGAAGATCGTACATTTTCTGTATAATCTTCAAATTAAATAACATTAAACCAACAAGGAAGTTTGTAATTCAAAAAAATCAGGGGGCAACATCAAAAGAAAGAAGCTCAATAATTCATCTAAAGGAAACGATTTGTAGAAAAATGTTCTTTAAGATAACTGTAATAGAAGCAGAAATCACGCTTGTTATTCATTTTTGGCTCACTTTTGTCAACTCATCTGAGACAGACAAACATACCATAAGTATTATACGACGTTACCCCCTGATTAAGTGCAATTTTAAACGCCTATAACTTTGAAACCGTACGTTAGAGGGCTATGGTTCTTTTGTATAGTCGGAATAACTTTGAAAGAGCAATCTAAAAATGTATTTAGATTTAAAATTTGAAAAGTTTACTTTTTTCTGACCATGACTTGTCGCTCCGACAATTACGTCACTGTCACGTGACAAGAACCAATTTTCCAAAATGTCCCAACTCGGAATCTTGATCCCTTTTATATATAATTTCATTCGAAAGAAGAAATGAATGTAGATCAAATAAAAGCAATAAAGAGAATATCAGATCCTTATTCAAATAAAAGACGCAATAGAAAATTTTCATGCATCTACTGCCATGTAACAACGTTGAAGGCAACGACATGTCGAAAGTGTCTATAGCTGGCTAAAGTTTAGCAAAAAAGGCGTGAAAAGATTTGGCTTTCCTTTTGAAATTCTTGGTTGCGTTTTCATCGCCAAGATACTTCCTGTTACTCTTTATAACCCTAAAAATTTTCGGAGCAGAACATTATGGCTGTGTTTACACAATAGTGAATCCGATCCGGATCGGCGTTGCATTTACACGAGAACTGACAGTTCCGTATACTTTTTGACCCGCTGTCTGAAGACCTTAGGTATCGCCTCTAGAGATGATCCCGTATGGATCCGATCTGGACAAGATCGCGTGTAGACGGTTGGATATGGTCTAGATATTGAAATGCTAACTAGTTTGTAAAATTATTTCTTGTAATGCCATTCATCTAATATTATAAATCCAACAAAAGTGAAAGCTAGAAACACGATGGAATAATACAGAATCGATATAAATGCAAAATATCACGACAAACAAACAAACTTGGTCAACGGGTTAATGTTGGCAGACAGATGTGATTACTGAAGGTTGATGAATATGTTGAAATAATTTTGAAGAAATTGCGTGATATCGTGAGATGAAAATACAATAACAAAAGGCACCTAACAGGAATTCGTCGGCCCCAATAAAGCCTAATCTCTATTGAATGAAGCAAAACTCGATGAAAGCCAGCGACAAGCCAACAGAGAGCCTGCGCCCAAGACTATTTTACCTTCACGCGCTGCCCGCTGCGTTTCGCTCAGTAGTACAATTTGGTTGAGGCTACCTTTAAAACACGGAATACGGAATCCGGAATACGGAATCCGGAATACGGAATACGGAATACGGAATACGGAATACGGAATACGGAATACGGAATACGGAATACGGAATACGGAATATCGAATGGTATTGAATATGGAATAGTATATCATTTATCGATGTTGGTAGACAGGATATGCAGATAAAGTGGCATTCAGGATATGAAATATTATGTCATACAACGTGATTTAAATTTCAGCACCAAGTATGAATAAAAAAAAAAGGAACGAGGTACAGTTGTGTGAATACATGAATCCCACTCGCAATGCTAGAAAAGAAAAAATCAGAACGTTTTACCATTCATCGTTACTTTCATATTTCAAAGATGCTTAGTCAGAGACAACATTGAGGGGGCACAGGGGGCTCAATTTTCATATCAAAATAAAAAGGTAAAGCTCTAGAACCTTATCAACGTCCAGTTTAACAATACTTTATAAACATTAGTAACAAGCAAATAAAGAAAACAATAGATACATAAATCCTTATTAAATGCATTTTAAATTTACTGCTTTGGTTGAAATTGTTCTTAGGACTGGGCCTGCCTCTGGGCCCGATGTGGCCCTCGGTGGCCCTGATTATAAACCACTTGAAACCGTTGGTGCACTTGAGATGCATTGCATATCTATAGACAAGTAAAGCAGAAATAATCACAAAATTTATGGTGTTCAAAATCTTTATATATGTTGTGTAACAAAACGGAACGTGAATCCAGTTTTTAATATAACTAACAAATCATAAACGATATTTAGAATGTTAGATTACATAGACCCCAACTCACAATTTTAAGATAAAGAATGGAAACTTTTTAGCAGCTATCACCGTTAATTTCAAAATCTACAAAGGTAGAGGCAGCATTCAGGGTGGGGGCTCCGGGGGCTCAACCCTAATGTCATTATTCGAAAATTCCGAAGGCCAATCAGCTTATCAACTTCAGCGATTTGAAAGCTTATAGAAATTAAAATTTTGAATTAACTGTATTGCAGCTACCCTTATTTTAATTTGAAACTTGATTAATTATGTCAGAGTTGTCGTTATGTCTAATAGAACTAGTAATCTTTGCTGGTATAGTTGGAAGTGAAGATTCTTCACTAAAGTCCAGCTACCCATTGATAGTTCTCGTTACCAAAAAAGAATATTTTGGAATTTCTAGAGAAAGCTTCCACTATTTACTTCCTTACTGTCCTGTGATCCTTTATTAAAGTGCCTGTGACATGATTTTCATACTTTCGGGTTTGTATATATATTCTTATGTAAAAAGGCCTGTTATTTTCCTTTCTGAGATTAGTTTCTACGTTTTGTGATAAATGAAGGAGTTATTGGCGATCTTCTACGCCAAAATTCGCCATCTTGGTTTTCAGAATGAGTAGACAGTGACGTCACGGGTGGGACCCGATCGCCTTCTCCTTCGAGTTTTTGTATCGTAGTCAATGAGGGAAATCTAACAGGTCCAAGATGAGCGATATTTCCGGAGAAAGTAGTGGCAGCGAGGATGAGATTTTTGAAGGTAGCGCTTACATTGCTACAATAACGAGTTCCTCCCATGACGTCACAAGAGAATGCCGAATGATGATAAAGCGACTTGGCTAGGCCGCACTATTTTGCTTAATTTCAATATCAAAACGCTTTTATTCCAAAAAAGTTCAGATCTACTATAAGAGCAGTGCAACGTTTCAATCAAGCGAATAAAAAAAATTATGTCACAGGCACTTTAAGCAAGGAACAAATTTCCGTATGTCTTCTTATTTTTATATTCGCTCGACCCAGACTACAGAAAAAGTCTCGTCAATGTAATAAATTCAGCGGTCTAAGCACTCATTCCCAGAATCAAAAGGAAAAAACGAAAAACTTCTCAGAACAGCAAGATATATATCCACGAAATAAACAAGCGTTCTCATAAAACAAACTGAACATATTTGTCTTAGTATCTAAATACATAATTGTGCAACATAATGGTATGGCTCAAGGGACAAATAAATGATAAGCGAAGGTCTATTCAAAATCTGCGAGGTTAATAGGATTAAAAGATATTATGCTGAGAAAATGCAAATGTGTTTCTGAGTTGATTAAAAAAGTGTGAACGTCGAAAAACAAGCAAAATGAGCTTCAAAATATATTTCCTGTATAACCTTATTTGTAGCAACCATTAAACTAAATTGCCGAGCAACACAAGCATAGAACACAAGTGAGGCGCGGCGGTGCGGTTGCTGCGAAGCATGACGTGTGTTGCGAGGCAAAGCACAAAGCAGCATTATACAAAAACTAACCCAAAATGTCAATGCTTTGGAAGCCTTCCCATGATCACAATGTCACTCCGCATTGTTTCCCTGTGTTATTATATCATTTTGGGCAATGGGTTGGTAAATAACAGGTAACCAAGAATAACCCATTAAGGTATTACTTTGTGGATCGTTTTGTATCTTCATCAACTCGCATCACGGCACCTTGCAAAATTCAGAACGATAAAAGCGAAATTCCTTAAGTATATATCCACGACATGTATCCCGAGGGACATTTTACTGTCAAGGAGGGCCTCCAAGATTATTGTTAAAATAAAAGTTGAGCCCCTTGTGCCCCCTCAATGTTATCTCTACCTAAGCATCTTTGAAATATGAAAGTAACGACGAATGATAAAACGTTCTGACTTTTCTTTTCTAACATTGCGAGTGGGATTCATGTTCGTTCCTTGTTTTTATTCATACTTAGTGCTGAACTTTAAATCACGTTATATGACATTGTATTTCATATCCTGGATGCCACTTTATCTGCATATCCTGTCTATCAACATCGATAAATGATATACCATTCCATATTCAATACCATTCGATATTCCGGATTCCGTATTCCGGATTCCATATTCCGGATTCCGTATTCCGGATTCCGTATTTCGTATTCCGGATTCCGTGTTTTAAAGGTAGCCATTTGGTTGAACTTTTTAGTGATCGCCCGCAAAAAGTTATCTAATTATCTGATTTGATTGCAAATTATCGCTTTTGTTTTGTACAAAGCACGGGATCGAGGATGAATTTTGACGGTAGTTTAAATGAGACAGAAATGAAAATTCATTGCAAGTGAGACATATGGCCTTTAACAATAAAGATTAAGGACAAAAGTGGGAAAATACTGCGTAGTAGAAGGTTTTCTGCCAGCCAATGAACAGCGTGACACACCGTCTTTGAGGTGACATCTCATTTTCCATCGAGGTTACAAATCGAAGGCACTACGAAGTTTCGTTTTACCTGCTTTATCGGAATAGTTTTAACAAATAGAGATGAACAGAGTTCAAGAAAAAGAAGAAAGTTCAAGTAGTAAATTCCATTATCTTGTTTGTGGATTTGCATTTTTGATTCAATTTACAGGATATGGCTTCAGCCGTACATTTGGGTCCATTTATGTATCAATGCAGGAGGAATTTGATGCAAGCAATGCTTCGATAGGTGAGTGATAACATTCTTTCATCAAACTTAAATCTGGGCACTTGGGGAGGTTGGGCAATAGAAAGAATTGTACGACAAAATCTTTTGACCCTTAAGAACAAGGATGAATATCTTCGTTTTATTAAAGAAATTGTCGATGTAGATGCTCAAAAAAAGTTGCTTGAAGTAGGTTGAGAAATAGCAGATTTTATTAAGTAAATTATTTTATAGAGTTTGATCATGGTCTCTATTTATCTGAGTAGTTGCGGCTATTAAAAGAGTGTGTCACACGGGACATCCTGCGTGGCAACACGCCAGTTGAGCAAAAGCTGTTTGGCTGAAAACCAATAGGGAATTTAACAGATTATTGTATCCGTGCTCATCGTACAAAGCTTTCACATTTTTGTATGTTTTATGAAAGGAAACGAATAATAAAGGCTCTTTTTTCAGTCTTATCCTATTTCTTTGGATAAGGATGGTGATGCAAAAAACAAAGACCACTTTTACAGCTAGGATAATGCAACTCGCAGCAAGGGCGCCAGAGCGATGGAGGCCGCGGGGGCAGCTCGGGGTTCAAACGTATCATTAAAGGTGTTCATTTCTGAGAGTTTTGACAACATCAGCAAAAGATGCTGCACGACAATGTTGTCCAGTTTGGCCAACATTTTTCGACGACAACAAAATCAACAAAATTCCGAGCAACATTGTCGCGCAACAATGTTGCCCAGTTTCGCCAAAGCTATAGGAGCAAGATTTGAACTTAAGCCATCGTCTGATTATTTAAAATACCAGTTATTCTATTAATTAAGTATATTTATCAACTGTTATACGTATTCAAATAGTGAATTATTCACCAAGGGAAGACGAGTGCGACGTCGGACCCGCTCCAGGCTCGATGCTTTGGCCCCTTCCATTTAACAGTAATAAACCTTAAATGCATTTAATGTCCATTTAAAATACGCATATATTTTCATTTATTTTGAAATTATATTCATAAAGCATCGTTAAACGTTTTCAGTATAGTTATGATTTGTTTATCTTATGATTATAATGTTATTTAAAATCATATTTTCAAAAGAGACAGTTCAACCTCTTCTTCTCTATTCAAGCATTGGCGAGTTCAATTCCGTCATCATTGCTATTCATGTTCGCAACAGTCGCAGTCATTATTTCTGATCGGATAGGCTTTCGCCTTTCAATATTTCTTGGAGGCATGTCGATAGGCGTCGCCCTATTGATGTCATCGTTCACTTCAAACATCATCATCATCTACCTGACGCTTGGAGTTTTATACGCTTTTGGTCAGAGCTTGTGTTATCACGGGTCTTTGTTAATTTTATCATTGTACTTTGAGAAGAATTTGTCATTCGCCCATGGTATAGTCTTATCGGGGAGCAATCTTGGTGGCCTAGCTCAGTCGCCCATCGTTGGCTACATCTTAAAACATAATGGCTTCAGTGAAGGAATACGGCTGTGCAGCGTCATTGCCTTGTTCATTATTCCAATGTCAGTTATTTTTAAGAGGCCTGGGGAGAGCTTCGGGTTCAACAGATGGAGTTGTGTAGAGAATGCAAAACGGAACGACACTGCCATTGGATCCAAGTACCTACCTCTGCATAAGAACAAAGCATATATGATTTTCATTCTTTCGACGATGTTTTGGCAGTTTGGAATTAACATAGACTATGTGCATATAGTAAGTATTGAAATATAGACCAACATCTTTATTTTGATTTAGGCTGCGTACACATTGAGCGAAATAGCGTAGCGAAGCGAATGAGCAAATTCGCACTCAGAAAGTTTGTACTGAAAACAAAGCGCCTGTTTATATCAAGACAGAGCGATAGCGACACGTAGCGAGAAGATTACTTCTCATGTATTTGCTCGCTGCGAACGGCAAAGAATAACAGCAATGGACGTTAGCCATACATACCGTTGCCATACAACCGATTAGTAATTGGGGATAGTCTGGCAATGCTGGTCTTCAACCAAACCAGTATGAAAGTACATAGCCTTTTTTGGGAAAGAAGCTGGCCCAAATAATTGCTAACTGTACTTTAAATGGGAAGAAAAACAATGGCCATCCCCAATCCAATATAAATTTATTTCCGACTATAAAACGTAGATGTCTATGTTCTGAATCTGAAATAGCCTCGTCATTCCTCAACTGCGGCATCAAATGATGATATTCACCAGATAAAAGCAAATATTCATGAAAATCAGGTCGTGCCTCTTTTTATTTCGTGAACTAAAAATCGTCTTTCTTTTGAAAATAGAGAATATTTAAGAAATCAACTTTCAGATAAAATCATTATTTTTGTTTTAAATCAGCCACTGCGCCATCAAATTTCATCCTGCGAAACCGGTTGATTCGCGATTTTTCGCTCACAGCATGTTGTTCCGTTTGCTTTTGTTTGCCCCTGTTCGCTTGGCTTCTCTTTTTTGCTTCAATGTGAGCGCAGCCTTAAAGAACCACATCTTCACAAATGAAGTTTATTTTGACAACTTGTGGACGTTGTTTAATTTACAGTTTAATGCCGTTTTCCATAACTCCATTTCCATAACTAAGTTATTGAAATATTCATAGACATTATGGTTTGTTTCATATTTTCCAAGTTTCACCTTAACGTTTGAAAGCGAAACTTTTTTGTTGATAATATGTGCATGCTAAAGGGTAACCTATCTCTTCTCGAACTTCTTCTCAAATAATTTCAAGCAAAAAATCAGAATCTAAGGAGCTCAATAGAAGTTCATCTTGGGGATGAGAGAAGCCAAATAATTTTTTTTCATAGAGTTAGAAAATGTAGGAAATGCGACAAATCTGGTGACAAAAAAGTATCGAAAATTGATATGCAGTATTATTAAACATAAAACACATTAAACATAAAAGAGTTATGAAAAAGAGATGTAATTGATTGTAAATAAGACATCTCAATATTTGGACCTCAAAGAACATCATGGCTACTTTCAGTTAAACCCAAATTGCTTATGGCCTGTCTACAAGATACAACTTCTTGATACAAACCATAATGAAACATCGTCAAACATATGTTGTATGATATTCAAGAACAAATTTTTGATCATATGGCTTGGTCCATGATACAGCCTTGTCTGGTACGAGAATTTAGCTGCATGCGGAAAAAATTTGAACATGTTTTACGATGTTCAATTTTCCAATCAAAATCGTCTATTACGAACGTACTCATGCTGCAAAATTGCAGATGGAACTGGAACGAGCTGTTGGGACCGCACTTAATGCCGAGATTCGACATATCAATTTGTTCAAGTTCACAAAAATTTGTATGAAAGGCTTCAGGAATTGTCCAGTTCTTGGCCCATGGTCACATTCGATTCCTTTTTATCTTTCAAATGTTCATAACAGCGGATATTATCGTATATGTTGAATACATCAGGCTAACATGACTGTATGTGTTCTGTGACCATTATCCAACACATGTTCCATGGAGTTTTGTATTAGTATGTTTCATCGTGTAGACAGGCCCTTATACCTAAAAAATGAAAGGAAATTACTTAAGCTCTATTTCTGAACTTTTTGTATAAAAAAGATAAATCGAGACAATTTCTGAACATTTCAAGCTTTGATAATTAAGTTTGTTTTTTTCCTTCTTTGCACAAAGCATGAAAAATTATTTGATTTTTCAATCGATATGCTTTTCTTTCCTCTTTGAGCACATTGATATTTCCATGATAAGAACAGAAGCCACTTCTTCCAAAGTTCTGTATGCTGGGTGCTCGTGTCATCGACTAATCGACAGGACATTAAATCATGTTCTCGCCAGCTACAAAGCTTATTTGTATGAAATATATTTACTCAAAAATCTGAAAACGTTTTATGGCGAAAATGTCAACATTATTGAGCAAGCAAAGTCGCCTTTTGACAAAGGTTTTCTTCGAATCAGTCTAGAGGAAAGCAATTGATTCCAACCTTTGAAGATAGAACGTGTTCATTTTCTCTCTTGGACTCTTCAATTAGGTGAGTGGTTAGCGGCTACCGACGGATCAAAAACCAGGAACCAATCAATCGCGACATTCTCCTTCTTTCTGACTTTCAAATATATTATTGGAAATGACAAGAAAAGCAAAAAACAAAGCAATTTGCTTATAAGCAATTTGAGTATTGAGTTTACACTGGTAAAGATATCTTGAAATCATACAATGCTTAAAATTCAACATGACCAATTGGTTTTGATGTTTCTACATGTGTCTGTATGCAAACTATTACTTTTCAGGTACGTTTGGCTCTTGACAAAGCAGTGCCTTACACTGAAGCTACATTCTTACCAGGCCTAACTTCGATCGCACAGTTCATTGGCAAAATAGCTTTTGGCAAGCTGTCATCCATGAAGGCGGCTAGCAATTTGGCTTTGTGTCAGATTTCGACCGCTTTTATGGGAGTATTAATGTTTTTGCCATTTCTAAAAGGGTTTGCTGGCCTAGCCATAATCTCGTTTGTTTTTGGCTTTGCCCAAGGAATGTATAGTGCCTCTAATTTAATTATTGTCAGGGAAATTGTAGGAACGCAGCAATTTAAAAGAGGATACAATGTCAATCAATTCGTTACGGGGGCTGCTATCATTTGCAGCCCCCCACTTGCAGGTTAGTAAAATAATTGTGGTTTGAACTGGGATAAAAGAATTATGTCGTGTTTATCAAAAGCATCATTCATTTAAACATAGCAATCATTAATGTCAAATCATATCGAATTTTTTTGTTTATACATTAAGACATCTGATAAAATATCTCTTAATTCAGTTTGCTATTCAATGTTAGACAAAATCATGCAGAGTGTAACGATGGAATGATGTGTATTATGATTTAGCAACACGTTACAATCGCAGGGTGAAATTTACCTGATTTTATCAAGCAAGGCTTCCTGAATTTTCAACATCCAAAGTTGAATAACTTATACCTAATGAATAGGTTTTATATCTTTTAAAAATTTTCTTACTGTTTCTGAAAAGTTCAGTAAAGTTTCCCTATTGTTGAAGACACAGAAAAATGAGGCCTACTTAAAATCGCTTCCTTCCTTTTATTATCTTGTCTTATTTCTCCTGTAGGCTACTTGTATACTGTCACTGGCAACTATATTCTTGCTTTTCTCATTGCTGGAGGATGTGCTGTTATGGGAATGCTTTTGATGTTCTTAGTGCGATATTTTCATTCTCAAAATGAAGAGAAAAATGAACTTCTCCTCAAACAGTTGAAGCTTGAAGTGATAGCAATCGAAGAAGAATCTGTCAATACTATATAATTTACTTGGATTGAATGGTGCTGCTTTTAAAGGCTTAACATATGCCATCAATTCTTGATGCAATGAGAGACAGAGACTTGTGATTTGATTTGATATTTATTTTAAGCATTTTTACATGACATTGCTTTTAACAAATGGCAAAGAGAAGATATTTCGTTTTGACTTTAACTGATGGAGTTGAATTTTGTTAAAAATTAGTAGGCTTCTTGCTTTTTGTAAGGTATCGTCTATTTGAATGTCCATCGACATAGACCCTGTTTACACGAGACCTGGAACAGATCAGGATCCACATGTATCCGGATACTTGTAGATCCGATCCCAGTCGTTTACATGGGGTCGGATCAAGATGAGATCTTCAGCTTACGCACGTGCGCGTTTAAAAAATTGTTGTGCATCAGAGGTTTTTAAAACAATTTAGATGAAAACAAACAATCCAAACTGAACATGGCGAGGTAAAGTCACTCACAATTTAACCTGAAAGAGCTGTTAAGAAAAAACGAATTTAAAAGTAAAGAAGCTTCTTTATACACGTCTCTTAGATTCCTTGATCCATCTTTTCGAAGTAATTTTTCAACAGTAGTAAGTCAACTTAGTGTTTTGTTTTTTGACGCAAAAACCACGAAATAAAAACACCTCGAGTTTACATTTATTCTATCTCACTCACAAATCAGAACGTAAATGGATCCTATCTAAACCATATCCAACCGTCTACACGTGATCTTGTCCAGATCGGATCCATACGGGATCATCTCCAGAGGCGATACCTAAGGTCTTCAGACAGCGGGGCAAAAAGTATACGGAACTGTCAGTTCTCGTGTAAATGCAACGCCGATCCGGATCGGATTCACTATTGTGTAAACGCAACCATAATGTGCGGCTCCGAAAATTTTTAGGGTTATAAAGAGTAACAGGAAGTATCTTGGCGATGAAAACGCAACCAAGAATTTCAAAAGGAAAGCCAAATCTTTTCACGCATTTTTTGCTAAACTTTATCCAGCAGTATACACTTTCGACATATCGTTGTCTTCAACGTAGTTACAAAGCAATAGGTGCGTGATAATTGTCTATTGCGTCTTTTATATAAGGATCTGCAAGATACTCTCTGTGTTGCTTATTTTTGATCTACATGATTTTACACGCTTATACATTTTTTCCCCTCTGTGATTTTTCCATATCAGAATTCTATTGTTGAATGAATTGGTCTTTCGGGTTCAACTTGATTGCTTCAATAAAATTCTGATCCTAGTGAAAACATTATCTTGGTGATGGTGATGGAGTGATTTTTTCTTGCATTTTGCAAATTACGAGACTAAACAAATTTGTTTCTGTTTCAAAACAGCATTTTGGTTGCATGAATGAAAAAACACTGGTGCGATTCATACATTATTAATATTTTGGCCTGTTCACCAAAACCAGTTCGAATGATCGAGAAAAAGCGCCAATACAAGAATTGAAAAATGATTCAAGATATCAGAGGTTCGAGAAATCGGGGGTTCGAGTTATCGATGGCATTTATATGTGAAAGCACTATGCTAGGTTCTAGGGGGAAGCAATATCAGTTGGAGTAAGGGGATGTTCCAGTTATTGATGGTTCGAATTATCGATGGCATTTGTATATGAAAGTATTACGCTAGGTTCAAGGGGGAAGCAATATCAAATGGAGTTAGGGAATGTTCGAGCTATCGGGGGTTCGAGTTATTGAGCGTTTACTGTCTTTACAGAACTAAACTGACATAAGCAACTTTCAAAATATAATGCACGTCACTTCCGGTTTCGTAAGAACTTTGCATGAATTTGTTGCTGGAGATCAACAGCATAGGTAACCAGCAAAGTTTTTGAAATAACTTATGTTTAATTTCAATGTTTTATAACACGATACATTGTTTTATATAACTGTTGCCTTCTACAGTAATAATGTTGAGACCCGTTGATAAGGATGGGGTAGCTGGGGTGGCCCCAGGGCAAGAACTTTGAGCCAGATCTGGCTTTCTACAGGCCTGATAATATGTGATAACTCTTTTTCGAAACGATAGTTCATTCGCTTAGATGTTTATTGCAGCAATGACTAGTTTCAGTTCAGAAAAAGGTGAGAACACTCAAAAATTTGAAGGGTAACACTCCTTTTGAAAATTTAATGTGCTTATCCATTATGGATAGGATATAAATCTGGCTGAAATGAATTTCACGGAAACCATTGGGTAACCTTTGCCCATATTCATAACCGCGTTCATAATCTGCATTAAGACTTAAAACTCTCAAAAATTCATATCCAAAAAGAAAGATTTACAAAATGGTGTCGCATTAATTTATGCGGACGCAGTGGACTGAGGGGGGCTAGCCAACTAAAATAATCTTCAAAGCGTACTAGAAATCGGAATTACCTTGAGAGTCTTCGACCTGGTTGGCTATAGACTCTCACTGCTTCTTGGAGGAACATTAATTGGCCTTTCACTCGTGGCGACATCATTCGCATCCAGTATATTTGTAACTTATTTCACACTTGGACTCGTGTTTGCGATAGGACAAAGTTTGTGTTATTTTTCTCCATTGCTGATTTTGCCCCTCTATTTCAAAAAGAACTTATCACTGGCCCACGGAATAGTGATGTGCGGGAGTAGCCTCGGAGGCCTCGCTCAGGCTCCAGGTCTCGGTTTCATCTTGCAAAAGTATGGATTCAGCAGTGAAATGCGGCTGTCTAGCGTGATCGCAATGCTTGTAATAGCGGTATCTGTTTTATTCAAGCGGCCTGAGGAGAGTTTTGGGCCTAATCCTTTGAAGTGCAGGAAGGAGAGAAAGAGAGAAATAACGAGCAAGACTGGAAGAGAGGAAATACCTTTACTAGGAATTTATGCTTACATCCTGTATGTTTTTGCAATGATGTTGGTCACTTTTGGAGTTTTCATACCCTTTGTGCATTTGGTGAATTTAAGAAAAGCTGATTACGCTTTCGTTTATATTGATCAAGACAAAATCTTTAACGATGGAGTTCATTTTTTGCTAATTTTATCAAACAACCTATATTTGCATTATACACACACAGTGTTTTTCTTCAGTAAAATTCTAGTTTTCCTGTCTAGAATTTCAAACAAACCCTAGGAGTTTAATTGCAAATTAATAATAATCCATTGATCATGTTTTGGAAATTCCAGGTTCTTATATGAAGAAGAGTGGAATAAATTTTTATCTGAAATCCATGTTCAATTAAAGACGCGGGCAGGTTTTAACGGGCATCTCACTCAGCGCAAGGAATATTGAGGGCGTATTTGAATAAGATCAAGCTACGGCCTAACTTTCTGCTGCAGCTGAGCATCAGTCGGGTTTTCGACTCTTACACTCGGTAGCCACAGCCCTTCTGGCTAGCACCAATGATTGGTACCTGAATATAGATGAAGGAAAATACACCGGTCTAGTCTTTATTGACTTGAAGAAGGCTTTCGACACGGTCGATCATAAAATCCTACTGGAAAAAATGAATATAGGCCTGGAACATGACTGGTTCACATCATATTTGGAAAATCGTAAACAATTCTGCAGGATGGATGGCACCTCCTCTGATGTGAGGAGAATAAATTGTGGAGTTCCTCAAGGCTCTTGTCTTGGTCCACTCTTGTTCCTGATTTACATCAATGATTGGCCTTTTTCCTTGCAAAAATCTCATGTCAGCATGTATGCTGATGACACGGCCATTTCCCTTTCTTCAAAAGTATTGGTGACCTTCAAAATGACCTAAACTTAGATCTTTTGAAACTACAGGATTGGCTGCATGCAAATAAACTTTCCTTGAACGTAGTGAAAACGCAGTCACTTGTTATAGGCTCTGGTCCAAACATCCGTAAGATCGAAAGCTAGCCTGATGCTCCACCATCTTTATATTTTTCAATAGGTGATCAGAACATTGAAATGATCACCAACACAAGATACTTAGGTGTTCAGATAGACAGTAAGCTCAACTGGGACAAGCATATCGATACTATCAAGACCAAGGCTAATCGAGCCCTTGGACTTATTAAGTATTCTAAGAAATATCTTCCATCTGACATCCTCAACAAAATGTATAGAAGAATTGTTGAGCCCCATTTGAGCTACTGTTGTTCCGTTTGGGGCTGCTGTAATGAATCAAAGCTTGACGTGTTGCAAAAAATCCAAAAAAGATCTGCCAGAATTGTAACTAGCAGCCCATACGATGCGTCTGCTGCTCCGATAATTCAGAATCTTGGCTGGTTAACCATCAGAAATCTTGTAAGAAAGGAGACAGCCACGCTAACTTACAAATCTCTAAATATGCTTGCACCAGACTATTTGAGAAAATTATTCGAAAAATGTTCGGATGATAGAGAACGGTTTCTGCGTTCATCAGAAACTGATCTTAAGATACCGCTGCTAAAAACAATAAATGGCCAAAAGGCTTTTTCTTATCGCGGTCCAAAACTGTGGAATAATCTAGAAAGGGCTACCAAATTGGCTCACTCCCTGAAAACCTTCAAAGAACAACTATAGTCGGGGACAATTTTTATTTCATCTTTACGCTCACTTTTTATAGCCTTAGTATTATTAAATATTGTAAATTAGGTTTGATTGGTAAATTTCTTTTGTTACTAGTATTCTAACATAGTTATTAGCTCTTATTTTAATCTTTTAAACAGGTCAGGTTGAAAAACATATGTATGAACCTTTAACCTGTATAAATATTATAAAATGAAAAATGAAGCTGATTGAAAGCTGAGGCTTCTGGCGGGATATTCCAGCTTTTTCCTAGGAATAGTTAAAGCATAAACAACTGTCTCGTGAACAAGCCAAGACTTGCGTACGAGAGGATTTTGGAGGACTTCTAAGGTAATGCAATTGAAAACAAGTCCATGATTGCTAAAAAAATGCACCAAATAATTACGTCTCCTTCCTTGCTCAGGATATTGGAGTCATTTTCTTTTGATAAAACATTAGTTTTAAAGAAAAGAATTCAGACGGAAATTTATGTTAAATTAATTTTCAAGAATTGTTGCAGCTACAAGCAAGCGCTACTGAAGTTACTAAAGGCCGATTTCCATTTGACATTTTTTGTGCGCGCGAACGTTGCCCCCAAATCTGAGCATGCGTAGTTAAGATCAAGTGGTCTCGATTTTGCGTCCGCTGTGAGCGCCGAAAAGTTGATAGGGTCTCAACTTTTTTATGCGGTCGGCCACTTGACAGCAGCACTTAGCTACGCATGCTCAGATTTGGTCGCTACGCCCGCGCGCAGAAAAAATGTCAAATGGAAATCGGCCTTAACAGTTAACAATGGCTCACTAACACGCAGCAATAGCTGTGTGTGTTATGATATGACGCGATTTAACCGTTGTGGCACAATAGGTGCCGTGGTGCATGCACGAGAGGCTAACTATGAATTTGTTGTAGCAAAGAGTATTTATCTGCTGGTTCGTCACGCGCAATGAGAAGTTTTACAGTATCGGAATAGATAATGTGATGCAATTTCTTGTGTATTTCTCAATTTTTTTACAACCTTTTGTTATTATATGTGCCATCCCATCGCTATCTCAATTTCCATTTATCAATGCTAAGCCTTTTTTGCTTTTTTAATTTCAATGATGTTTCTTTTGAACAAGGATTATTTAATCTTAGGTACGCCTAGCGATAAACACAGGCATATCATACTCAATGGCGGTATTTCTACCAGGCATTACCTCTATTGCTCAAGCAGTTGGTAATGTAGGCTTCGGCAAGCTTGCATCTCTCCCGAAATACAACAAGCTCTCTCTCTGCAAATGGGCCACCATCGTTATAGGCATAGTGACAACATTTGTTCCAACATTAACCTCCTTTATTGGCCTTACTGCTTATTCCTTTCTTTTTGGTATTGCTGATGGCAGTATCGCCGCATCTACCATGCTCATCGTTAGAGATTTGATAACAAAAGAGTAATTTAATAGAGAATACAGTGCATATCTTATCTGCAACTGCATCGCTATCCTTGCTGGTCCTCCGTTTGCAGGTATGTTCAACCTGTTATTTATCATAAAAAATCAGGCATAATTCGTTCAAAAGTATATGTTAAATAGTATTGATCTATGTACCCAAATATAGAGGCATTTGTTGGATAGCTTTAAAAACACCGAGATTCCTTTATTTCTTTGCTCGAGTTAAATATTTCAGAAAACTATGTTGATGATTCAATACCTGAAGAAGACATGGAAAGGATCACCACTAGGGACTTTTTAATGTCCAATGAACTTAACAATAAAATCATTACTAGCACGTAATGTTAAGGATCGGGATACTTAAGTATATGTTAATATTTAGATTTAGAATAAAGATGATAAATGGCAACTACTAAGACCTGTGAAATAGTGTCAATCTGGAATAAATTCTTATTCCCAATTTTTATTTTTGTCATCCTTATTGATATCATATTGAAAACCGTTGTGCGTCGGATGTTGCCAAAAACATAATTGTAAAATATGAGTCCTTAGGTCCCTGCATTCAGAAGAAATATCATGGGCAAATATTACTTTTTAAAAAGGTAGACGTAATCAAAATGTAGCAAATTTTTCTAACTTCCCATCAAATTATTAACGACGAAACAACCAGAAAACATAATTGCCTTACCAAGCACTAGAGGAAAAGCACTACTGGAGTTTAAGCCTGATTTACAGGAGACGAATTTTTTCGTGCGAAGCGCATTTTTTGCCGCAAAAGCGCGAAAAATAGGCGCAGAAATAGAGATCAGAAAATTCGCAGCGAAAAATTCGCTGCGAAAATGTAAAAATCATTCCTAATTTTTCGCCTTGTAAAATAAGCCAATCAGAACAGCATTGGAAGACACGTGACTTCTTTTTTGGTTTCAGACGGCCTATGTCTTTCCGCATTCTTATTTAAAATACTTCTGCCTTTAAAACGTCAATAAAATAGGTTGGTAATCATTCAATTCCTGTTTCTTGTACACAATCCATGTAAGTGGCTTCATATCAGAAGTGGATTCATTCAAACATTTGAATTTCAAATTAACGAAAATTGGCTTGAAAGTTTCATCGTTCTACCAATATGTCAGAAATAAAAAATAGGCAAGAAGTTTTTCAAATTGCTGAATTGTTGACTGCTTATTGGCCTGCTTAACAGCAACAGTTTTAAGCAGATTCACTAACAGGACCTTGCATGCTTGTGCAAGCTTCGATAGCGACCTTTGAAAGTATTTGAAGAAGTTATACTGGTCTTATAAATGTAAACGTAAACCTCTCTTACCGAAAGATGGAATTCCCCCTTCTGAAGATGTCCTGAATAAATTTTTCTCATCCAGTATCGCTTTTTGCTGTTTTGCTCGCTTTTTTGATAAATTTCGCTATATACTTTTGTAATATTCGCAGCGAATTCGCAGAAAATTTAGCCAGTGTAAATTGAACTTCGAATTCGAGAGAAAAATTCGCAGCTAAAAAATTCGTGGCGAAAAATTCGCTTCGCGCGAAAAATTTGTCTCGTGTCAATCAGGCCCAAGGCAGCCAAGAAAATATACTTGGAATACAAAGGCAAAACATGGTAGGAACAGTCTCGAAGGACGAATTATTGAAGAGCGAAGTCGATAGTAAGAGACGTACGTCGTGTTGTTATCTTA